TCCTTCCCAACCAGTAGGCTGTGGGGAGAATAAGAGTCAGGACAGAAGGATTTGTGATATGCTAAAACTATATCCAAGACAATTGAAAGAGAAAAGAAAAGTTGATGACCCAAATATAGGCCAGCAAAACCCAAGCTGAGGTTAGTGGCAAGTAGCAAATTTGGCTCTGAGTTCCCTGGAAGCCAGGGTGAAAAGGGAAATACTCTCTGTGACATGATTTGCAAGATCCATAAGATGAAAAGCAATCACTTTCTTAGGTGAGTAAGAAGAACACCCAGTACTAAGACTGATACAGGTATCAATGTGTCCTCATAAAGCAGACACTATGGGATCCTAACAATGACCCCTAACAAAATCCCTCCAACAGGGCAATAAGTTCACTGGGGCTCCTACCTCTATCTGCTTTAAGAGCATCAAACCAAAGTGGGATCTTTGGTCGGGTGCAAGGAGAGCGTAGTGGGCAGGGAAGCGGACGGGGGCTCACCCGGTGAACGCACTCCTCATCCACTTCGCTGATGGTTTTGTTGGCGTCGTCGATGCAAAGCCGTACCCTTCCTGCCGGCAGGTCGGCTGTTCCCTCATCTGGCTTCAGCACAGTTGCTGGTGGACATCCCAGAGAGAAAAACAGAGCAAGGATGGGAGAGGAAGGGAGATGGGGAAAGAGGAGAAAGAGGCTCTGAGCTGCTGAACAAGGCCAGGAAGCTGGAGAGGGGGCCTGGGAGGTGACAATGGGGCTGCATTCTTCCTTCTTGGGGCCCATTCACATGGGGCATTCTGAACTGTGACCCCAAATCCTTTGAGGACGGAAGCTGGGTCTGACTCACCTTGGGCTTTGACAAGCTGGCCCAGTGCCAAGCACACAGTAGGCACCCAGAAATTTGGCTGCACTGACCAATCTCATGCCTAGACCTGGGATGGCAGGTAACGGCATGCAGGCTGCCATTTCCCCCTCCAGTGCACATGACAGACATCACTAATCGATCTCTCTGTCCAGCTGTGTTCGCCTAGGACTTAGAATCACTTTTCAGTAGAGTGCTGTCGTCAGCCATAGCTAATCAACAACAGTGGGCTCATGAGACGAAATCTCTTTCTGTTGTC